AGAGAGAGAGAGAGAGAGAGAGAGAGAGAGAGAGAGAGAGAGAGAGACTAACTAGGAATAGCATGTTTCCTAATCTTTCCCAAACAGTTCTGCCAACTGGAGACCAGGCATTTAAATATGTGGGCCATTGTCACCCAAACCACCACCCTGCTGTGACTGAAAGTGCTGCCGAGAACTCTCATTTATGGAGTACAATATGATATCTCCCTACTACGGGATTTTATTCTAGAGTTTCCTAGGCTGCTTTGATCATTTCCCTTCTTGCTTTTGCTGACCAGTTGTGTTCGTTTGCTTGCTTGGAAGCACAAGGTCTCATGTTGCAGCCAAGATGAGCTGAAGCACAATATATAGGCTGCGTAGGCCTGGAACTTGTGATTCTCCTGTCCCATCCGCCCGAATGCCTGGATTCCAGGCATAAGCCACCACACAAAGCTAGATGTCTCGTTGTTAAATAAATGTAAATATGTGCACTTAACAGCTGTTAGGTTAAGATTAACTCTTCCAGTCTAAGTCAGAAGACTACACAGATGCCTGCACAGCCATATTTAGTGTGGCATTATTCACAGCAATTAATTTAAGGAACCAACTTAGATGTCCATCAACAGATAAAGGGGGAAAATGGCATGCTGCACTGTAGAGTGTTATTATGCCACAAAAGAACAAAATTATATATATATACACATATACATATATTTATCTATATGGTAGATACGAATACCATGTAAGTGATAAGAAGACAACTTTGGGAAATGAAGGAGCTATCCTAGCCTAAAGGGGAATGAGAAAGACGGAAAAGGACAGAGTTGCCTGGGGTTAAATATAGCTAAAGTATATGATATATACAAATGAAAATGTATTTTTGAAAGTTGCCACTATGTACAGTGAAATATGCTAATAAATAAAAGAAAAAATTACATTATTCATACGATAGCAATAATTTATTTAAGACAGTGACATAATTAGGCTCTCATTTTAAGTAGGCTATGTAATTAAATATAAAATTAATAGCATTCACTTTAACAGTGAAGAATTGTTTTGCATTTTTTCACTATGGATAAAGAATGAGAATCACCATCATTCTTATTATGCAACTGGAGCTGGAAATTATGGCTGTATAGTAATTTGCCATCTAAAATGCTCTGGATTCAGATTTGCTGATGTGCCATCATTCCATATAGTCTTCAGTATTCATCAGAGTGCACACGAAAGCCTCCCAGCGTGAACAGTGCCTGGGAATGAATTGATTCAGGAATTTTACTACAGTCCAATATTTTTAGCCACTGGCTCTCGCCTGCCTCTGATGACCATGCCCCTTGCATAGTCCTCAACCCAAGAGGCAGCATTTGCCTTGTGTTTCATCATCACTGCCCACCAAGGAGTCCCGAAAACAAATGGGTTGTAAATATTGATAAGTGGGCAAAGGTTAGTGATATTAGTGCTTTGTGGGGTTTTCAGAATGTATTCTGGGCCTCCTAGTCCCCATTTGTTACACTCTCTAGAAGGAAAGAATGATTAGTTCACTTCACATAGGTTATTTCATCCACTGGCATACCTCTTAACCTAGAACACCAAGTTCTAAGAAGCATAAAATATAATAATAATACCTTGATAGTGTAATTTATACTATCAACCTGTTGAAGTTCTTTATGTGTATCCTGTCATTTAACCTTCCCAATTGTCCAGTGAAGTCTGTACTACTATTGTGTCCATTACAGAGAAACAGAAGTGGAAAGATAACTTACCTGGGAGCCCATAGCTAGGAACGGTTGAATCTGGACTTTCACCCAGTGTTCAGACTTGTGCACAGACAAAGAATATATCATTCAAATTACTATCATGATTGGAACCGCCACACTCATTTATATATGTATGGACATTTCAGATCACACTTGAGGTAGTCCTTGGAACACAACAGTTCCATGGGGAATGTATTGTTTTCCTCCATTTTATCAATTTTGTTGTCTTAAGCGTTGTTATGGCTTGAAAGCAAAATGTCTCCTGCAGGTGCATATGTTTAAAAATCTTGGTCTGTTGTGGTAAGTTATCTTGAGAAGGTGAGACCTAGATGAAGGGTATGGGTTACGGGGAGGCAGGTCTTGAGGTATGTAGGCTGGCCTTGCTCCATTTCTAGTCTCTGCTTCCTGACTGGTAGAAATACAGCAAGCTGTGCTGCAAATGCTTGCCACCACACATTGAGCCCCAGCTGACTAGTGTTCCCCACCATAAAACTGAGATAAAATAAATTTCTCTCCTCCTGAGTCACTTCTTGGGAGGTTCTATACCATGGCAATGAGGAAAGAAACTAACACTGAAAATTGGTACCAAAAAGTGGAGTTATTGCTGAAATAAACCCGATTATGTGGTTTGTGGGCCTTTGGAACGGGTTTGCTTGAAGAATATGGGAGAATTTGTAGCTCAGAGCTAAATAAGCCCAAGAATGTTGTAAGTAGGGTTCCTTTTTGCAGTAGATGATAACAATTAATGCAGAGATACACAATCAGTCAAATGCAGAGTATAAGGAATTGTGAGAGGCTCAGCTCTAAATGAGATGTCTGTATCACACTCCCTCTCCCAAAGGTTCAGAATTCACTGCAGAGTGGGAGACAGAAAAATGTAAGAGCCAAGATAACAAGCACCTGCAGCAAAAACAGTGTTTGCCAGACATAGGGAATGTATTCCTCAAACCATGAGTGAGCCATGGCTTCTCCTCATTATTTCTGTAAGGTATTCTGTTATAGTGACTTGAAAAGTAACTAATATGATAACACATAACTCAAAAATATTTCCTTTCAGCCATAGTATAGGCATCAGTAAATTTTTAAAGGACTTCTAGGCTCTGTGAACCCTAAGATCCCCATATTTTGCTGTAAGAGATTCTGTTGGATTTGTGTGCGGTAATTTGGATAATTTTGCAGTTGCAACAACAAAAAATAGCTAACACATTCTTCAGGTGAAGGGCTACTGTGTCTACTGAAACTTGGCAGCAATGCCCAGAGTGGGCATGTTTACTCCTGATCATTAGTGAAGGATGTTTCCCTTTATTTTAGTTGCAAGAAGCACTGGATCAACAGATAGAGCCTGCACAATACATTCAGAAGATGCACGACTGCATTCAGAGGTACACAGCAGCATGCACAATGGCTTGAGTATTAACAAAGCAAATAAATAGTGTGCTTTGAGATTTATGCCAGTCATGACAGTTTATGAAAGTTATTCTTAATTTACTTGGAATGCACAATTGAGGCTTGGGGCGCAGTTCAGCAATATAATAATTTTTGCACATTTTACATAAATGTTACATCTTATCTACAAAACATAACTAGAAAAATGATACTTATTTTACTATTTTGTTCTGTTTTCGTTTTTTGAGACAGGGTTTCCCTGTCTGTATAAGAGCTTTGTAGACCAGGCTGGCCTCAAACTCATAGAGATCTGATTGCCTCTGCCTCCAGTTGCTTTTTAATTCTTAAGAATTTAAACAATTATTACTCAAGATGTTTGTTGAGAAATTATGAGATGTTTTTAAAATTGGCACATGAGAGTAACTATTTTAAAATGTACATTATAATAGACTTGGACTTGAAAATTGCAAATTAAAAGCTACAGCAAGAAAGCAAGCAGAGAAAATTGAACAGTTAAAGAAGAACCTACTAGGTAAAATTTTGGTAAGTTATTCCCTTATTTCTCATAATAATGAAAATAAAGTTTTATTTTTCTAGTATTTGGAATGTTTTAGGCAGTAGAACAGTTTCACTGGTGAACACACTATATTCATACCAATATGTACAATTGTATTGGTAACACACATACTCCTCTTTGCAGAAGTTCGCTGACTTCATAAAATTAATGGTCTGGGTAGCAAATTTTAAATTAAAATGTTGTGAGAGTCTAAAGCCAATCTGTATGTCCTACATTTTTAGCCTCTCACCCCCTGAAGGACGTGTAGGCAGCTTCCATGTTTTGATTATTGTAAATAGTATTGCTCTTACAAGATTGTTTAGTAAATAATGTGTAAAATTTACATACAGTGTACAAAAGGAATACATTTCTTTTATTAATGCAGTTATTACTGCTATGATTATTATGATGTTTTGCATAGGGATTGAACCTGTGACCCAACAGATGCAAAACAGGCATTATGAGCACCGAGCTACACACCACACTTGCACTATGCATTCTGAGGCTGTGATTGAATCTCTGCTTGGCTTTTAGAAAAGCTTTTAAAATTATAGGAAAGTAATTATTTGATGTAGACTTTGGATACCTATTTTAATCTAAGCCTTCCCCACAAGATTTTGACAATGAATTTCTTATAACGGATATCTCATCAGGAATGAGTACTAGGTCATTATATAAACATTTTTTCCCAGAGGGCAGTGGAATCTTTGGATTCTAGAAAAGAAATTTTTGTAATCATCTGTGATCGTTAGTCAAAGACTTATTAGTCAAAGTCCAATCTAGGAAAAAAGATGTTGTTCGGTATGTCAATATAATCGTATATTAAAAACTCTATACGTGTTTCCCAAGCAGAGCAGAATTGTGTCACTCACGCTCTCACCTGTAGAACGTCAGGTCATGAGTCTGCAATACAAACACTAAACTGGAGCAGTGCAGTCGTTGCTCTCAGTAGCTGTTTTTTAAGTCACAATTACCGGACTCTTACAATTCCATTATAAACTGCAGTTGTCGCAGTTGGATATGCAGTCACTCTTCCTGCTCCCAGCTCATGCACACATGGACTTAAATGCTGAAGCATTGATCATCCAATCACTGGAGGTAAGTGGCTCATGATGCCACTAATTTCTTTAATGGGCTAATACACTCTTGTTTCATAGCTGAGTCTAGATGAAGAGTAATGAGAGGCACATCTGTCCTTAGCCTCATCGTTGTTTCTCTGCTCCATGACTGCCATGAACTGAGATTTCTCCTCAGTAACACATTCAGGACGCCATGGTATTCTGCCTCACTTCAGGCATAAAATGACAGGGTCCAGTGGTTGGGGACTGAAATCCTTGAAGCCATGTGCCGAAATAAATCTTTTTCTAATTAACTGTACCAGGGGTAGGGAAACCTGAACAATAGAATGTGAGCACCAAGAAGCAGAGGAATTGCTGTGTCAAACACCTCACCCTGTGGTTCTTAGGCCCTTGGAACCAGTTTGTGTGAGAAATGTAGAAACGTTTGAAAAAGAAGCTTATAGAAACTTTAAGGAAACTTTTGTCTGTGAGCTCAGAAGACTAAAATGTGTAAAGTATAGGCTGTGTTCATGAAGTTTCAGATAAACTCCATTGTGGGTTAGACTAGAGGCCATTCATGTTTTTTTTCTTGAAAGGAACATGTTCTCCTTTTGTTCATGGCCTAAGACTATATGAAGCCAAATTTAAAGTGATAAATTAATTTAACTTGCAAAAGAAGAGATTCCAGGCAGCCTGACATTCAGGCTGTGGCACTACCATTGCTAGATGGTTTCAGGCAGGTGCTTACTAAATAAAAACTAGGAGCAAAAATATGATTGGACAATTTTTAAAATTTTGTGGTTTGGTCAGTTTTACCTGTATAAAACTGGGAATAAGAAGGTATGATCTCTGCAGAGATAAACACTGTTTAAAAAGAAGCCAAGGAGCAGGGCACAGTGTTGCACACCTTTAGTCCCAGCACTCAGTAAGGAGACATAGGTGGATCTGTGAGTTCTAGGTCAGTCTGCTCTACACAGTCAGCCAAGGTTACAGAATAAGATCATCTTTAAAAAGAACCCAAAACAAACCCAAAAACAACAAACAAAACCAACAACAGCAAAAAATAACTATATAAAAAAGAAGCCAGATGGTTTTCACCAGGACAATCAGAAAGATTTTCTTGAGGGCATCTCAGTTATCAACAAGACCACCACACCAGTAAAGGCATTAAAGTTATAGAAGGGTAAATTCCTTTTAAAAAGACTTGAGAAGTGAAAACAGCTAGACACACTTCCGACACAAGACTGCCTAAGATGCTGTTTCTCTGAATTCCTTACACGCTGCTCAGATCATACCTAAGGGTTTGCTTACAGCTCAGAAACTAACTAGTTAACAACAGGTTGTCAAAATTCTTGAATGTACACTAAATGCATTTTGCATTATGACAAGGATGTAAGCCTTAAGGGGCCAGAGGGAGAATATTATAGTTTAAAAAGCCTCATATGTTGAAGACTTGTGCCCTCACTGATGGGTCCAATCATTTATCAGTGATTGGTTCATAGAGGTCCTAAATGCAACAAGATAATAGTGCATCCATGAATTCATAGCTGAATATGGTATAAAATCTGAGGCCTTCTTGGGGAAAATAAATCTCTGGGGATGGGCCTTTGACAAATGGGTCTGTCCTTGAAAAAACCCACTAAGAGTTGTGTTGACAGGTCTATCTTATGACTGAAAAATATTTTTGAGATTTTATATAGTCTCATTCTCTTACTACATTTTAATACACATAATTTGACAATTTATTAATAATAAGTTAGCTGAGAATGAAAGCCTCAAGGTAGCCTCTTATATCAGTATCATACAGAAATGTATTAATGGTCGGAAAGTGAAGAGACAATAATAGGACCCTAAGCCTATTAAGTTTATCAAAAGTAATGAGAGTTTTTCTATTTATTATTCAAAAATTAGGAATATTAACTAGAATCATTAACCACTTTGAACTCCTACCCACAGGTCAAAGTCACCCTAAGTGTCCCAGTTCCTCACATTCAGCAACATGTCACCTCACATTTCTGTGCCATTTTTTTTGTGTGTGTCAGAAATCACCTCAAAATTCAATGTCTCAAAGCCAACATTTTTTTTTATAATCTACATTTAAGTTAGACTTATTTGGCTGGCTCACTTAGCATCAACTTCAATGACTAGAAATTAGGCACTAAAATAATCTCAAAACTTGTTTATACACATGTTTAGCAGTAGAATCAATTTTGACTAGGCCTTTGGCAGGGTTGTCTGCATTAGGATTCATTGTGTGGCTTAAGTTTCCTCACCATTCAGTATCATGCTACCGAATTAAATCATTCTTATGCCCCAAATAATATGGATTGTGTCTCTCAATCTTTTTATCTCTCATCTTTGAGAATCATTGCATTTTGGCACGTAATTCAAATATTAGTAAACATTTGCAGTTTGGGAAAGAATTATTGACATTAGAATCTTTATTTATAAAATTCATTAGAGTCTTATATATTACTTTCCTTCATCTGGGAGCCAATTATTGAACACCGTGTAATATCCTTTTGTCTTCTTTAAAAGTGAAGATAGACGCTATAAGGTGCCGTCTTCTAAGGGGTAACTTCATGTTAAGACAAAAGTGTAGAAAAATTAAATTTTTGTAACAAAGATAATGAATATGAAGACCGTGTTTTTATGACTTTGGTGAAGTTTTTATTGTTGACTTTCTGAGTAACAATGGTGTTGTAAGACTCAATAATGATACTTTGTTGCAACTAAAATTGTGTCAGATTTCTCTTAGACTGTTCCCAACCCACTTCCCCAGCACCAAAGCTATGATTTTGTGTCCACAGAATGATGATCTTACTGCAAAACTGGAAACTGCGTCTTCCAAATGTCTACATCTGCATAAAGAAAATCAGCAGCTTCGGCAGGAGTTACTGGCTATGAAAATTGTGCAAAAGAAATGTGAAAAATTAAAGAAGCATAAAAAGAAGTTAGAACAAGAAATAGTTAACCTCAAAAGTCACATGGAAAAGAATATGATAGAATGTGGTCAAATAGAACAGTATAAATGGGAAATTGAAGAGAGAACAAAGCAGGACTTAGTGGAAAAATTAAAACAAATCAACCTATTTTTGCAGGTTATTTACTTACACTATATCTCTTCACTGCAATTATATTTTGAGTGTTTACACTGCATGTACTCCTTCTACTTCTTTTGTAGAAGTCTGTTTTATAATTATTAAAGAAATAGTGGGAAAGGTCAGAGGTTAGGGAGGAACAGACTGAAACAGTGTCTTCTGGACACAAGCCAATGGAACTCACAAACCCATAGCAGATGTGATGGCCTGCAGAAGTCCTGGACGAGATGGAGCCAGTCAACATTTAGCATGGAGTGGGATGGGGATCGTGAGCCCCTCCCCTAACTAAGGAACTATGGACAGTTGATGGCTTCTAGGGAAGAGAGAGTAAGTTTCATAGGCTATAGTCCCTAGTAAGTCAATCATGATCCAGTAGATAGCCCTACAGGCATGACTATATGAACAGCACAAAATTGGTACATTACTATATGTAAGAAAAGAAAGAGAAGAAATTAAATGTAGGAGGTCTTAAAGGAAGGAGAGGGGATGCACATGACAAAATACATTAAGAATACATTCTTACGAGACTCAAAAATAAAATTATTATATTAGAAATTTCGGAAGGGAGATAATAAATGTTTTTCCCTTGAGATAGTCCCATTGGTATAACCGAAATGATCATGTAAAACTATTTCTTAGAGAACCATTTGATATTGAAGGCTAGCTGGCACAAAACATGACTTAAGGAGAAAAAAATATGGCACAAAAATTGCACTTTGAATTCTACTTAAGTAACTGTATTCCACTTTTAAAACTGTTAGATCGTGTGAGTCTGAGCATAGCATAGCATACTGATTTGAGGTTAGAGCACATGGTAAGCACATGCATTCAATGCTCAGCACCACAAATAGTATAATGGTAACAGAGAAATGAATGGTTCCACTTTAAGTTCAAGTTTAATGTAATTTGTATTTATGAAAAATGTTTAGAATTTAGCATCATTTTACATATTTAAAATGCATCTGTAAGGTAATTGGTCAAAACTAAAGGGAACAGATGCATGACAACTGCTTGAGCTAGTCATTCTGAGACTGCTTTCCTTTGCATTCCCCACAGACACAAGCAGCCTGTGAAGACAAGCTAGAGAAGCTAAGGCACAAGCAGAACGCTTCAGTGCGGACTCAGATGGAGCTCAGAATAAGGGACCTGGAATCTGAATTCTCTAAAATGAAGAATCAAGTAGATTGTAATCAAATCGAAATAGAAAACTATAAGCAACTCTACCTGCAAGAAGTCAAAATTAGAAAATCATTGTCAAATAAACTAAGCAAGTAAGTCAGAACATCATGGACGATAAATCAAACTCATTAACTTGTCCCCAGGACACATGTGGGATAAGGAAAGAAACTCTAGGATGTAAATTTAGAGACTGGTGCTGCAGCCAATCAGAGTGCTGGCCTGGTGCCGCAGCCAATCAGAGTGCTGGCCTGGTGCTGCAGCCAATCAGAGTGCTGGCCTGGTGCTGCAGCCAATCAGAGTGCT